TATGCCCCTGTCCCCCTGCCCCACACATGCATGGCTTCCCCCACTATCAACATCTATCACCCACCAGCCACAGCTGATGGTAGGATTCACTGTTAGTGTTGTACATCCTATGGGTTTGGATGAATGTACCTCCTGGTTTACACACATTTACTTGTATGGTCATGAAAAGGGAAGCATATCATTTCCTGCTATTGAGACCAAGAATTAGTGGTTTTTATTAAATATGTGTTGCATTGCATGGGTGCTCAGTCATGTCTGACACTTTGCAACCCCATGGACTATAACCCACTAGGCTCCTCTGTCCACAGGATTTTCCAGGCAAGAAGACTGGAGTGGGTTGCCATTTCCTTCTCCAGTTTATTAAATATAAGCTTTGAGAAGGGTCTGTGTTATTTAAAAGAAAGTCCTTTGTTTAATTCACTTCTATTCCCACCCAACAAATCCCACTCTCAAATTTTTTTAAAAAAAGGACAGGAGAGAGAGGCATTGATTTGTGCACTTACCTCCTAGGCATGGGAACCTGGCCTGGCTACCACCATCCCCGGGCCTCTCAGCACTGTTGGCTGTCTGGATTAGGTCTGGGGTGAAGGTCAGTGGTGAAATGGTTGCCTTCTTTTTGCAGAGCATGAGCAGTTACAGCTTGCCCTGCTTGTTGATCATTAACCAGGTGGGGGCCTTTGTTCCAGGCACAGGTGATGGGCAGGTGTGATTAAGGTTATTCTCTTAAGCACCTCGGTCGTCATCCATTTTCAGCCTTGCAGCTTCTCACAATGCCTGGTCCTGATGGAGCCGTCAGCTTGCTCCGAGACATCAAAACTCAAACCCTTCTCAGCTTTCCTCCCGACTGTATTTCCTATACCCACCTGCCCTGGAGCTGAGGCCAGGCATGCTGTTTTGAAATAGTAGTGAAATTTACAGTGGGGAGTAGTTAATGTATGTTAGCTTCAAGGAAGCAGACACTCCTGAGAGGGTCTTGGGGGCCTTAATAAAGCATTTCAAGGAAGCAGAGTATCGAATTTATGCTTTTTGTGCTAAAAACATTAAGGTATTTAAATGTGTTATTCTAATCCCTCTTGCAGCCTGGGAACAGGAGGATCCTATATCTTTTATTTAAATCCCAGCCTTCCTCGACTGCACCTAGTATAGGAAGAAACAGACGCTAACCAGTCGACTTCAGTGAATATAAAACTCAGTGTCATTCACAACATACAGCCTAGTAAAGTTTTTATAAAATGCGGTTACCCAGATCTTAATCGATTTGACACCAGTTGGTGTCGATGTTGGGTTTTCAGAAGCCAGCCTCCTGTCTGAGCGCCTCTTGAGTTGCTCTGTGATAAAATTGTCATGGACACAAGTGCAGATGATAAATCCTGAACCCACAAGCCGGGTATCCTGATTTCAAAGGGAGCCGTTTCTCAGTTGCAGAGTAAGCTGATCTTCAGCCAGGGTGTCCTCCCTTCACCAAGAGCACTTCTAAAAGCCCGAGTTACCCAGGCAGCATTTACGGCCCTGGTGCAGGATCAGGTTATAAGGGTTTTGTTCTCTTAATAAAGAAGATCAGGTTCCCTCTGACTCGCGCTGTGGGATGGCTGGTCTGTCCCCCCAGAGGCTGGGGAGCAAGATGGGCTATTAGCGGGCAGGTAGTCACTGAGGTCAGTGATAAATATTAATAGATGGCCTCATCTCCACATTAGGTGATAGCATCCTTCCTTTTAAAATTCCTGTTTATTGAGGAAACTTTCAGCATTTGGAATCAAGATGTAGAGGCCATATAAAGATGACCTCAAGGACCAGAAAATCTCGTCTTGAAATTTTTCATTCTTAAACCTTGGGTAATGCGTCCCAGTGAAAGTGACCGGGCGAGTTTGCTTTTCAAGGTCCAACACTAAACGTAGGAGAATCAGGACTGTATTTTGTGTGATATGTGTGTGTGTGTGTGTGTGTGTGTGTGTGTGTGTGTACAGCTCTAAGATAGTCAGGGACCCCTCCAGATTTTATATAATTACTAAATATTAAATATTGAATGAGGTAAATGAACCTTTTAAACAACAATGATATTATCAGTAGAAAAGGTTGATGTATTGTTATAGCAATCAGTTTATATAAGTAGTATTTTTTAAAAGCCTCTCAAGTTCTTTTTTTGCTTCTATCCTCCCCCCTTCCTCCCTTGTCTCCTTTTTGTTAAGAGTTTGAAGATGAGCTCAACTTCAGCTTTTGAGAGTTGACTTCTACCTGAAGTGTCTTGTCTGGAGCGTGGAATCATTTTTACTTACCAATTATGGAAAATGAATATTTAGGCCATGTTGAAAATCATCTTTGTACCCATAGGATGCTGCAGAAATGTTACATTTTCTGCAGTTTGAATTTAATATTGCCCACATGTATGTGTTAAGTTCCTAAAGTGACTGTAGAATTGTCCCAGCAGGATATAAAGCAAGATGACAGGGCACCTGCTTGCTTCCCCCTCAGCCCCCACATAGCCAGATTTGTCACATTGTGCCCAAAGCACACACTCAACCTCCACTGTCGTCAGAAGAAGACTGCCTTATGGCTGAAGCTGGCAAAATACAGGAAATGTTATCAAAATGGGTGCATTTCAACCATACCAAAATAAGTAATGGTGCTGGCACATCTGAGCTCTCAGCTTCATTTCTTGGCAAATCCAGTGGCATGGTGGCCTGTGTGTCATAGCATTGGCTGGCCAGCATCAGGGTTCATCGTTAATTCATGCAGCTGTTTGTCACCAGTAATGAGATTCCGCATTTTATTTAGTCAGCAAGTTCAGTGCTTATCCTACTAGCCTCTGCGTTGATCGTTATTAGCAGTGCGAAGGCGCTCAAGTGTTGGAGATTTCAATAGCGTGTGATTTCAGACTGAAATCCTTGTGCAGAGAGCAAATACCCGGTGAAATGCTTAAAAAGACCTTGTTTGGAGGACTTGCATCACCCAACATCCTGAGAGTGTTTGTAGAGACTTGGTGAGCCAGTGTCTGCTCTGCCCTCCAAGTGCTTGTTTAAGATGATACTCAGGGCCTCACCATCGGCTTATCATAGTCAAAGCACAGTGATGGAGAGAGGCCTGGGGTGGAGGGGTGGGGGAGTGGAAGAGACCAGGCTTACGTGCTAGCCTGTCCCAGGAGAGCCCTACAAGAGGCCAAAGAGCTCTGGCAGCTATATGTCAATAAGAGCTGTCACAAAAAGCCTGTAGTAAGTCTATAATGTTTCCAGGGATGTTGGCAGAAAACAGAAACCAAGACCCTTGGCTTGTTTAGTCAGGAAGCTTGTAAACAGTGTCCGTTCCTGGACCACAGGCAGTGGGGGGAGGGGGTGCTTTTATCTACTTCCGGGAGTGCCAAGTTTAGATCTTACAGAGGCATCTGGTCATTTTCTGAATGCTTTCATTCGCCACGTTTCTAGGTCTGTTACTTATACGGAAGTTAGTGTAGTTTTGTGTAGGTCGAAGAGTATTTTTTCCCCTGTTATCCATAGTATGGCTAGAGATGTAATTAATCTTAGAAGCGTGATTGTGGTAGTTAGTCCCCATGGATTGAAAGTCCACGGTATGATCGTTGGATTAGCAGTGAGGCCGGGGTGAAGGCCAGGCAGGATGAGGAAGGAAAGGTGAACGAGACAAACAAACACACCCCACAGAAAGGATGTGCTCAGTCACACTGAGTGTATATTAATTAGGGTTCATGGAAGTAAATGCAATTGAGAGATGTGCTGGTGGCCCCCCTTGTGGTCTCTTATCCTTCCTGCTCTTTTATGAGGTCAGAGAAGGAATAGTAACTTCAGTCCTATGGCATTTTGAAGGAAACCTCTCCTTTTATATTACCAATCAGATGTGGTTTTGAAATTTTTTCAACTTTTATTTTATATACAATGTTGTGTTAGTTTCCAATGTACAATAGAGTCAAACATGACTGGAACAACTTAGCACACACGTACCATATACTAGTCATTTTGAAAAGTGAAAGTGAAAGTGTCAGTCGCTCAGTCGTGTCCACTCTTTGTGACTCCATGGACTGTAGCCCACCAGGCTCCTCTGTCCATGGAATTCTCTAGGTAAGAACACTGGAGTGGGTAGCCATTCCTTTCCCCAGGGGATCTTCCTAACCCAGGGATCAAACCCGTGTCTCCTGCATTCCAGGCAGATTCTTTACCATCTGAGCCGCCATGCTTTATTATCTGATTTTATACTCTGAACAAACACTTCATCATAACTGATGGTGCTGTGTTTTGGATCCCATAGATTTATACTGCTCTTTCCCCCAGGAGGGCTATGGAAAAGAGCCCACTTTCTTTGACTCTCCGTGGAAATAGCCCCTCTCAGGTACAGGTTGCACACCATCTCCTTTGGGGCCGGGCTTCTACAAGTTCGGTGTCAGTGGACCTTCTGTCCTGGGTCTGCCCGTCCTAAGCCCTTCTGCCTTGGCTGACCTTTAAACGCTGCCTCCATCTCCAGGGTGGAGATGGAGACCTCTTTCTTCTTTCCTCTCACACTAGTCCTCTTTTCTGCACTTCTCAAGCCCTGCCAATTTTTCATTCTCTTTTCTGAAAGCAGGTTTTGTAGAAAATTCCCTTGCCCGTCCTAAGTTACGTATGATGGACGGCAAAGCAAAAGGAATCTGTGCTAGTTTTCTGATTTATTGGGAAGACCTATCCCAAGACCTCTGTGAGCATCTCAACTGCCTTTATCATCCGGGAGGGCAGGCATGCCCCAGAGGAGTTTGCACGTACAGCTCCCGCCCGGTGGTGTGATTACTGACAGGCTGTGTTTTGCGTTAGCTTGAGTTGTGTATTTCATTTGTGAAGCTGGCACATACTTGAAAGCCGCAAGCTACTGTTTTCTGAAAGCTTCTTTGCACATGAGCCTAAAACCGTCTGTATTGGATTTGGAAATTATCCAGTAACTGCCCTTTTAATGCAGCGAAATGTAGATTACAGCTGTTTCCTCTGGAAGGCCGTGTAGAGTCCTAACTCGTCTCTCTCCTCCTCCAGGGTGTCTCCCCTGCAGAAGTCGGAGATAGTGGACGTGGTGAAGAAGCGGGTGAAAGCCATCACCCTGGCCATCGGGGATGGTGCCAACGATGTGGGGATGATCCAGACGGCCCACGTGGGTGTAGGCATCAGTGGGAACGAGGGCATGCAGGCCACCAACAACTCGGATTACGCCATCGCTCAGGTGAGCCGCGTGGTCGACCAGCTGTCACATGTAGTTGACAGAGTTCGCTGGGCATGAAGGCCAGCTGGCGCTTGACCTTCAGTCCAGTCCTTCAGCCACCCCTTTGGAGGTGGCATGGAGGAGAACCCACCAGTATAGCTGGGTTTCTCTCTTGGCTTCATCTTGTGTAGTTACGAGGCCCTGTTCTGCGGTTTGGGTTTCTTTTCCGGCTGTGGGAAGGGCCAGGCTTTCTGTCGTCCAGGTGAGAGGTCATTTCCAACAGATGAATCTCTGATTTTATGATAATAGTCTCTTCCCCTAAACCCTGCACCCGCTGCGTGTTCTCTTCCAGTGTCCTCCATGCCCAGGGATGGCTGTGCTTGTAGCACCTTTCTCTGCATCCTCCCTCCTGGCATCTCCCCTCTGCCAGAAGGTGCTGGAACCCTCTGTCTCGTGGCACGTGAGGTCGGGGGACTCAGTGACTCATAGACACTGCCCTCTTGGCTGTGCTGCAGGGTTGCAGAGCCACTGCTCTTAGGAGCACTGCCCAGGCTTGGGCAGCGGTAGCACCTTTCTCTGCATCCTCCCTCCTGGCATCTCCCCTCTGCCAGAAGGTGCTGGAACCCTCTGTCTCGTGGCACGTGAGGTCAGGGGACTCAGTGACTCACAGACACTGTCCTCTTGGCTGTGCTGCAGGGTTGCAGAGCCACTGCTCTTAGGAGCACGAACCCCAGGCTTGGGCAGCGGTCCCCCTGTGGTCAGCAGCACAAAGCTTTTGGCAGTTCGGCCACATCCAGCCCGTTCCTCTCAGGTCTATGCAATTCAGCAGAGGCTCCTGACATACTTAGCATCTCCTGTCCTAGCAGTCGGAGACCAAACAGAATGTCCACTCCTCAATGACAGCCCCAAAGTGAAGGGAAATGGCCAAGCTCCTGCCCCGCTGGGATTTGCATCTAGACCATCTTTGCTGCCTGACCATCCGGGAAATTTAGGTGTCTCAGAGAACACAGACCGGTTCCTCCCATCTCCAATCACAGTGTGCTGGGATTAAATGCCTGCTTGTTGGCGCGAGTCCCCTCATGGTCCTCCGTGTTCAGTCTTTGGGAGAATGCATTAACCTTATCACATGAGCACGAGTAATCATGGCCTTTTCCTCCTTGAAGCTGAAATCTGGGGCTGCATGTTAAGCGTGGAAGAACTTGTTGCAAGCCCAGGGATGCAGACTGGCCTTCTGTATCTTCAAGGCCCCACTTCCCAGAGGGGGGCTCTGCTTAGATGCCATCTCAAATCCCCACCACCCCCCACCCACCAGCTAGTGGTTTTGCAAACGCAGAGAACAGCAGGATCCTTATAAGTCCAAAAAGTACATGAAATCTACCTTGTTCCTTTTGTCGATTTTAAATGAATCTTCAAGATGATGACTCACATAGGTAGGAGAAGGAATTCCGACTTTATAGGAGGGAAAACTGGGCTTCCTTTACAAGAGGTGACCTACCGCGGGTCCCAGCCCCCAGGGTCAGAGAACAGCGGACCTGCACGTGACCTTGGGGAACTAGCCCCATGCACCTGCCTGGTTCCTTTCCAGAGTCGACTGCCCCAAGGCCTATGGGACTCGTGCTTCCTGCAGGCTGTCAGCACCTGGAGATGTTATGTACCCCAGCATTATTAAATACTTGAGTTATAGCATCATATGGCTGGCAGGGGTCTTCAGAGGTTTCCTAGGAGCTCCAGGCAAATATTTGTCTTTTTCTTGCAAATGTCGAGGGAAGGGAGATTCCGTGACCTGCTTTATTGAAACCGGACTAATAGGATGTGGGATCTGGAGCAGTTGGTCTCTTCAAATTAAAGGCAAATCAAAATGACAAGGAAATCAAAACTAAAGGGCAGATACAGAGGGTGGCAGGGCTATGTGATTCTCTTTGGGGCTTTTCTTGTCCATCCAGCCTATATCACCTGTGCTGGAGGAGCTGATGGACAGCCCCAAAGACTAACACAGAGGAACACCAGGGGTCTCTAGCCAACAAGCATCACTGCGTGTCCCTCCCATCTGCCATCCTGCTCAGGTGTAATCAGAGATCCCGTTATTTCGGGTCTGCGTTCTGCTTACCTCATACCCTCCTCACCAGGATGTTTCCTCTGCCATAATTACTAGGTAGGACATGCCACAACTGACTGAGTTCCTTTGGTTGAAGTTAATAAAGTGATAAATGTCTTTGGTCAAAGTTCATGCCTTAGCACTTGATCTGTTTATTTTAATGTGGATGAGCATATTTTTGACTGGATTCTTGAGAACGTGCCCTGGAAAGTTATATCCAGAAGGAAAGAAAGGTTAGCTCAAAGACTTGTCCTTGGGAAAATTATGAAGTCGGCAAACCCTGGTTCTGTTTCTCCCCAGCTGGCCTGTGCTGTGTCTACGGGGTGGCCCCAGGCTGCCGGCCAGCCCGCTGGGGCCTCACTGTGCAGGGCCAGCCCGTGTCATGTTGTGTCTCCAGCCCTCCGCTGCCTGTTCTCCTTGGAGAGAGTCATTTCTGCCCCCTGCCTCCTTAATGTTTTTTGAGCAACCTCATGAAAACAGCATTTTGATTTAGGATTTTTTTGTTTTGTTTTCTGAAAAGAAATCACTGTAGCACTAAGCTAAGGCCTTCTGGATGGTTCCAACAGATGTTCTCTGTACTCGTGGAAGGTTGAACGCCAGGGTGTCCAGGTCAAATACAAACTTCCTCTTTATTTGTTTAACCATTCCCTTTGGAATCCTTGATGACCCTGTATGGGGAGCTTTATATCTCCACGTGTACCCATTCCCACCACTCCAGAGTCTCATTCAGCTTTTGGAGCCACACGTAGACAAGCCACCTGCAGAAACTCACCCAGATGTGGTTCACGTGGCTTGAGCTCCTGTCCTTAGTGTTAACACCAGCTATTGTGTGGCCTCCTCTCGAAAAAGTGTTTAAAAAATACTGTATCTTTGGCCAGTCTTTCTTTTCTGTAGATGGTTAAATGTAACTTCAAAAGTAACCTAAAGTTAATAGGAAGTTGACAACAGCAGAACTCCTAGTATCTGTGCATGGTCCTCTCTCGTGGGAGAGTGATGGATTTGAGTTTGTGGGCTGCCCTGCGACTCAGAACAGGAGGTGAGGTTTTAGTTCAAGGCAACCAAGGAGGACTCAGTGCCAGGAGAGGCTAATTGAATACATAGGAACCGTGAAGTGAAGCAGGATCACCCCTAATGATGCATACTGCCAGAACACGCCCAGACTATGACCCCAAAAACAGCCCATCTCCCTCCCTCCAGCTCCTTGTTCACACTTTTGGGGGCTTTTGTGAATTAGGACCCAGAAGACAAAGCCAGGCTAAAGGGAGGCTGAGGAGATAGGATTGGAGTGGTGTCCAAAGACCCCCTGCCCCGAGGAGGATTTGAGTATTTTATTCGAATATTGTTGAATATTTCAGACTGCAAGAGCTAAGCCATTACATCACTCTCAACTTGGTGTCAGCTGCATGTTGATGTTTTATTTGGACGGATGACTACATCACATTTCAGCAAGAGGGGCTCTTACTTGTTGGAGGCCAGAAAAAGGGGAAGGAGATGGGTCTAGAAGTGGAGGGCAGAGTATATGTCTCTCTGTGTGTGGAGTGTCGTTGTCTCACATCTGCAGGCTGACAGTGGAAATAGGAACAGGTAGTGTCTATATGCACATCCCTCTTCTTAAAAGGATACAGGTGCATGACAGTCCCTGTCCCTTGCTCCTGTTGTCATTACAAAATTGGTGATTGAATAGAAGCATCTTATTTCACTGCTCTTTTCTTCCAATTTTGGTTGGTCACCTCCTTTTAATAATTAATATCCTAAAAACATTAGAGTAAATAGAACTTCACAAGACGGCAATCTGAAGTCTAGCTGTGTGACTGGGGAAAATCACAACTCTGTAGCTTAAAGAGGAGATCTTAGACCTTCTCATCTGGCCTGAAAGCTGCCTCTAAAGCGAGTGGTGTTCTTGGTCACCAGCAGAATCCGGGTTCCTCCACTCCCTTGCCCGTCTTCTCCTCCGAAGGTCATTCCAGACCCTCTTTCTTTCCTTTTTCAGTTTTCCTACTTGGAGAAGCTCCTGCTGGTTCACGGTGCCTGGAGCTACAACCGGGTGACCAAGTGCATCCTGTACTGTTTCTACAAGAACGTAGTTCTCTACATCATTGAGGTGAGCATGGCTGGCCCCTTCCTTCAGGAGGAGGGTCCTCATCAGAGGGACCTTAGGTGACTTCAAGGAAGGGTTTTGTTCAGGGAATACTTAAAAGATGTTCCCCTGATGTGTGGAGCCTCTTTGAAGCTGGGGACACCTTCCAGATCTAGTTTCGCTGGACCAAAAGTCAGGCGTCCATGGCTGCCTTCTGCCTTCTCTCTCCCTGATGGACAGACGGACAGGGCAAGGCCCTCTCCTCTGCGTGGCCCTCCTGCTGTCACTCACACCCTCCCCCACCCCCCAGTGGAGGGAGCCTGGGCGGCAGATGTTGGCACCTGGCGTGGTGGGCGCTGAGACGTTCCTAGGCAACCCAGCCTGGTTTTTCTTCACTGAATGGAAGGGTTTCTTCCTGGATGTCTCACGGACTCCACAGGCTTCCTGAGCTTTTGGTTCTTGCTTCTGGGACATGTGGATGTTGCTGCTTTAGCCGGGAGGATGTGGGATTGAGTGGGGAGAAAGCCAGGAACATAATTAAAAATGTCTCAATGAACGCATTGAGTCGCCAGCCTGTTTTTCAAGACGCAGATTCGGTTGTAAGTGAAATACGCATGCTGGTTGGAGGGACCGGCGGGGCAGAGGTGCTGGCCCAGGGACGAGTGGAAAAGACACTTCAAGTTCCACTCCGATGGGAGCACCAGCCACCTCGTTCCTCCTCCTTTGGAGCAGCTCTACTGTAAAGGTGTGGCCGTCACGACTAAGAGATTTCCAGACGTGTTTAGGAAAGAGGCAACAGGCAGTCACTCTGGGGAAATAGGGAAGCAGTGGTCATTGTGTGTGGTGCAGGTTATTTTGTGTCTGGTTTCTCCACTCTTGGCAGAAATAATAACTGAGGCATAGATCCACTGTTTCTGATGTGGCCCCTGAAAAGGCTCAGCTCAGATCGTGGACATGGGGTTTGCTAGTGGAACTGCAGTTAACCGTTTCTTGACCAAATCATCTGATCCTTCCTGTTGAAGAGTCAGCTCAGACCTAGAGGTTTGCATCCCTCCCTCTGTAGCCAAACTCCTACCAAGCAATTTCCCCAAGTTGCACAGGTTGTTCACTGCACAAGGCTGCCCAGCCAAAGCAGCTGAAACATAGGAAAACCTAGAAGAAGGGATATGTTTTCTTATCCCTACAAAGGGCAGCCCACTTGCCTCGTCTGCTTGTCTGGTGCTGCTGTGTTCAACTCCACCCTCTCTGAGTAAGAGCTTTCAGATGTTACCCATCATAGATGCTGTGGTTTCTGTCTTCTTTCTGTCCACATTCTTACAGTTCCCTTTGGGTGCTTAAAGATGTTTGCCAGCCCCCTCCCCACAGCCTTTTCTGCATCTGTAGCGGGAGTCCCTCTTGAGTGTCACTCGGGGTCACAGATAATTGGTGCTGTGGTCTGGGGCCAGGATCACTGAGGCCCTGGTGTCAGCAAGTTCCCACATGTCAGCGTGTCTCACGTGCATGTTCGTCTCTTGGAGCTGCTGGCTTCAGAAGCTTGCTCAATAATCTGGTTTTCCTCATGATCAGCACATTACAGATAGTCTAGACTTCTTATCAGAACCGTCCCCAAGGAGCCCCAACCCTGGAGCTTTCCAGAGCTTCCTTGGGGGCCCTTCTTAGTCATTGACACCTACTATCTTGGCTTTTTCCTTTAAAAAAAAGAGAAAGCTTCCAGTGAGCTGACTCTGAGACGAGTACAATTTCAGTCTGTCTGAAAAATTCTGTTTGGCAGGCTTTCAACTCTGAACGTGCCAGGCAAGTTCCTTACATTAATATTGGCTATTGTGGCTGAGCAGCAGGGGTTAAACAGCCTTGCATAATCAGGCTTTTAAAACATTCTATATAAAATACAGTGTCTCCACCGCTCTGTGCCCAATTTTCTCCTTGGTATGGCTGGGTGATCTTCATTTTAAACTAGGAAACGAAATCCTTCCTGAGCCCAGACAGAGCACTGACTCAGACCGCATCTGCCATTGCTACATAACCTTCATGGCATCAGTGGGTGCGCTTCAAGCATAATTCAAACACAGGAAAGTACTATGTGCATGCTGTTTTAGTGTATTTTGAGCTGAAAGATCAAAGATGGTATAATTTGATTTGTTCATTTGCAATCAAAAGTTTTGCATTCTAAGTAAGGGTTACCTTGTAGCTAATTATTTATGTGAGAATAAATTAAATATATTGTGTATTTTTCTTAAATGGTTTTCTTGTAATTCAAGAAGAAGCTGCAATATCCAGGACGTTCTCATCTCAGATGCCCTGTGATACATGTAACTGTCACTTAAAAATACAAACTTGAAATAATTTGCCAACTAAAAAAGACATCAATACAAAGGTGTCATGCATGTACACACACGTATCTAGCCTTAGTCATTAGTAGGAGAATCATTTGTTGTTGTTTAGTTGCAAAGTCATACCCAACTCTTTATGACCCCATGGACTGTAACCTAACAGTCTCTTCTGTCCATTGGATTCTCCAGGCAAGAATACTGGAGTGGGTTGCCATTTCCTCCTCCAGGGGATCTTCCCAACCCAAGGATCAAACCCATGTCTCCCGCATTGCAGGCAGATTCTTTACCACTGAGCCACCAGGGAAGCTACCATGACTTGAATTACCAATAAAGGTGTTAGACACAGGAACCCTTAACAAGTTTGAAGAGAGTAGTTGAATTCATTCACTCATTCGTTGCCAACAATTTGGAGCACCCATGCTCTAAACTCTGTGCCAGGCAGTGGGACTGCTCAGATGTATGTTTCAGAAAGCCCATCCTGCCTGCATTAGAGATGCTTGAATGGGCAGACATCACTGTTTTAAAGTATAATTAATACACCATAAGATATACCATTTCTTGGTGTACAGTTCCATGATTAAAATGGGGTTTTTATCATTAGAAACTAACTGGCAGTTTTCTGTCTGCCTCTCACCGATGATGACAAACAAAAATGTCACAGAGAGTCCTGTGGATGGACGATAATGGTTGCAAAACAGTGTGGATGTATATGGTGGCACAGTGGTAAAGAGCCTGCCAACGCAGGAGACAAGATGTGGGCTCGATCTCTGGGTTGGGAAGATCCCCTGGAGGAGGAAATGGCAACCCACTCCAGTTTTCTTGCCTGGAGAATCCTATGGACAGAGGAGCCTGAAGAGCTACAGTCCATGGGGGTCACAAAGAGTCAGACATGCACGACTGAGCACACATGTGTGAATGTATATACTAATATCACTAAACTACACGCTTGGAAATGGTTAAGATGGTGAACTTTGTGTGAATTTTGCCACAATTTTTTGCTAAAATGTTAAAGAATGTCACAAGCATTTGGCTGCTTTAGTCACATTGAGGGGAAACCAAAAAAATGCGCATCAGCTTATTGCAGGCTTGAAAAACAACTTTACACTTGTTTTTTTTTTTTTTCCATTTATTTTTATTAGTTGGAGGCTAATTACTTTACAATATTGTAGTGGTTTTTGCCATATATTGACATGAATCAAACCAAGCAGATGCTGAGTCTAATGGCTGTGACCAGATGGACCATACTTAGAAGGAGAAACCTTGTCATGGGGCTGGCTTGGGAGAGGGGTGGCTTCACAAGCTGGCCAAGCAGGTGGGACCCCGATCAGCCAGTTGGAGGGGAGTGTGCCCTGTGTGTCTGCATTCAGGGCAGGAAAAGAAATGGAATTTGCAGAAGCAAGGAGGGCATGGGTGGCCACTGGAGTGGCCAGAGGAAGGGCCTGAAAACCAGACAGGAGCTTTGTTGCTCTTGGAGGCTGGGATTCGTTTTTCATTCTGGAATAGGCATGTTCCACAGTAAATGCAGCTTCAGAAAATGTGTCTGTCAGTGTGGCAGGCAGATGGTAAGCAGAGACCTTTAACATACTTCTGTAGTTTTAACCTGGGGCATGAATCCTGGCCATCATGATGGTGAGCAATTGGTGGTTCCTAATACAGAGAATAACCATGACATATAGATATCGAGGTGAAAAAAAAAATAGGAATTTTTATACCACTTAGAGTGAGTGCCTACTTATTTTTGGCACCATATATAAGAAATTTTAGTGTTTTCTTGGGGTCGTTAAATTGGTATGGGATATGGGCCAGGAAATGGGATGCAGATTAGCCTGGTGGTCTGGAAATATTATCACCAAATGAGAAATAGAGATTTAAACTATTGCATTTTGGGATCGTGGTAAAGAACCCTCCTGCCAACACAAGTAGATGTAAGACACACAGGTTCGATCGCTGGGTTGGGAAGATCCCCTGGAGGAGGGCACGGCAATCCACTCCAGTATTCTTGCCTGGAGAATCCCACGGACAGAGGAGCCTGGTGGGCTACAGTCCATGGGGTTGCAAAGAGTTGGACAAGAGGGATCCCCCCACCAGATACCCGAGCACTTTGAACTTTATAAAAATAGACTCTTACTGCTTTTTACAGGTGACAATATATGCTTTTTTAATGATGTTTTCGCAGCTGCTTTACCTAAGAGGATCGTTATAAAGATCCAGCATTCTGGAAGAAAAAAGTATTCAGCCGTGGCTGTTTTAAAAATTGAGTCTCTAACTCCATAAAATGTTTAAGCCTCCCTGGAATTAAAAAAAGAAAAAAAAGAGGCGCAAGTCCAAAAACAAAAAAAGACTTCGAGAGCTCTATGGTATGCGTTATTCCAGGTGACCACATTTCCCCACCATCTGGTACTTGGGCCAAAAAAAGAAAAAAAGAAAAAACAAAACACCCAAACCCAGCAAAGTGTCCAGCTCATCATGTCTGGTCTGCATTAAAGTTCACAGGTTCCAACTCGCTTCCCTTCCTGAAGGCCTCCTGCTTCCAGAGACAGCTCCACCCAGGGCAGTACTGGGTGCTTCTCTATCCACCAGATCGGTGGGGACGTCCAGGCACAATGAGTGACCAGCACCCAATAAACACACACTCGACTGAGCAGGTTTCAGTAGCAGCCAGCCTCTAGGAAACTGTCAGGCTTCTTGGTTTTC